GCCTTAGCTCCCGGCGGGGCTCCTGGGTCTCCCTCCAGGATTTCCAGGCAGCTGCTGCAAAGCACAAGCAGCAGCAGGCTCAAACTACATCACCTGCTCCCTCTGAGTCCCCACGCCCCAAGCACTGGCCCCCAGCACCTGCCAGCTCCGCTTTGAGGGCAGGAGCTGCTGCCTGCAACACCCAGATGCCCTGAGGTCTAGGTTGGTGTCTCTGGTGAGTTGCCAGGAAGGACCCCAGTGCCACACGTGCTCTACCTGAAAGACCAGGGTTCTTCCCCGAAGTCCTCGGCCACCCGCTTGTACAGGGACTGCTGGCTGGGGGGCGCGGGGCTGCTGGAGCGGAAGCTGTCCGCCAGCTCACGGCTGGATGTGTTGCTCAGGTCCGACCAGAGCTGAGACTGGAGGAGGGAGAGCAGAGGTCAGTGGGGCACGCACGAGGACACCCCGAGACTCCTCCCTTGCTCCCCCACGGTGTAGAGAGAGTGAGCCACAGTGAGAACTGAGTGGAGAGGAGGCAGCAGGAGGGGAAGGAAATGTGACCCCATGTGACATGGGGTCACGTGCACTGAGCGCCTGCTGTATGTCAGACACTGGGGTCACATGCACTGAGCGCCTGCTGTATGCCAGACACTGGGGTCACATGCACTGAGCGCCTGCTGTATGCCAGACACTGGGGTCACATGCAGTGAGCGCCTGCTGTATGTCCGGCACTCTATTAGCTGCTTGGCTTAGTTCTCAGGATAAATCTGTAAGGTGGCGCTGCTGTCCCATTTGACATGTAAAGTGACGTAGTTTGGCCATGTGTTCCCACCCAAATCTCACCTTGAATTGTCATAATTCCCTCATGTCAAGGGTGGGACCAGGTGGAGATAACTGAATCATGGGGTCTGTTTCTCCCATGTCGTTCTCGTGATAGTGAGTGAGTTCTCACAAGATCTGATGGTTTTATAAAGGGCTTCCCCCTTTGCTGAGCACTCATTCTCTCTCCTGCCGCTCTGCGAAGAGGTGCCTTCTGCCGTGATTGTAAGTTTCCTGAGGCCTCTCCAGTCATGCTGAACTGTGAGTCAATTAAACTTCTTTCTTTATAAATTACCCAATCTCGGGTATGTCTTTACTATCAGCATGAGAACAAACTAATGCACAAAGCAACTGAGGCCCAGATAGGTTGAGTTAGCGGCTAGGGAGGGCAGGCTGCATTCAGAATGCACACTGACGAATGTGACATGCGAGGTACTGAGGCCACCAGGTGTGTGGGGTAGGTCTGAATCCAGCCCCTTCTTTCACTAGTAAGTATTCCTGGAGCAGCTACTATGTGTCAGGTCCTTTGATGGTGTCAGATGTACAACTGAGGACAGGCACCATCCTTGCTGTGGGGGAACCAGTGGGCACCCATGAACCAGTGAGGTGGAGTGAGGCATTCCAGGGCTGTGGGCAACATGGGCAGGGCAGGGAGGCCAGGGCGGACTCTTTGGAGAAAGTGGCACAGAGGAGTGAGGTGGAGTGTGTGTGTTGGGGGCACATTCCAGACAGAGAGAGCAACAGAGCAGTGGCACACAGAGAGCCCAGGCTGTAGGAGGCAGTCCCCCTAGAGCGGCCAGATTAGAAAGCCGGGGCAGGAGCAGCGTGGCTGGAGGGGAGCTGATTGGTCAGTCGCCCACGAGGTCGGTGAATGAAGATGGTGTGTCCTGGTGAGCAGAGCTGCTGGGAGCCAGTTCTGAGCACCTGAGGTCCCTTCCCTTCCCTCCCCGACCCAACCCACCCCCAGGAAAGGGAAACATGGCTGGACTCTGTCCTGTGGGGAATGGGGGGCACGGGGGGCATTAAGGCAGATGCGAGAGTCGATTCAGTTGAGGGTTTGGACTGCTCTGGCCCAGGGAGTCCCAGCACCGACAGGGACATCTTCCCCTTGTGTGCACTCAGTGTTCTGGGGAAGACCCCGGCCTCCCCCGACTCTTTGAGTGGCCAGGGGGCAAGTGAGCCTGGGCCTGATGCTCTTGGGGTGCTGCTGGGATGGTCCAGGAAGGAAACACCAGGTCCCCCCCAAGGCATGGCAAAGGGATGTCAGGCTCACCTGCTTCTCACCCTCCCTCCCTCCCGGCTCCCGGCATCCTGCAGCACTGGGGCTTTGACCCCGGCATCCTCATGCCACATGCCCACTGTGGTGGGACCACCTCTTTACTTTGCCAAAGGGTGAGGGCAGATGCCAGGGACCTGAGGCTCCAGAAACCACAGTGAGGCTGGCATCCCGGGAACTGTCTGTACCAGGTTGAATCGGGTCCCCTGGAAACTCATGTCCGGGGACCATCTGTGCTAGGTTGAATTGGGTCCCTTGGAAACTCATGTCTGGGAACTGTCTGTGCCAGGTTAAATCGGGTCCCTTGGAAACTCATGTCTGGGAACTGTCTGTACCAGGTTGAATCGGGTTCCCTGGAAACTCATGTCCACCCTGCAAATTGTGAAAGTGACGACCTTTGGGAACAGGATTTTCAGACAGGTACCCTGTCAGCACTTTGACTTTGGACTTCTGGCCTCCAGGACTGTGACAGAATCAACCTCTGATGTTTAAAAGTCTCGCAATAGGGCCAGGTGCAGTGGCTCATGCCTGTAATCTCAGCACTTTGGGAGGCTGAAGCCGGCAGATCATTTGAGGTCAGGAGTTCAAGACCAGCCTGGCCAATATGTTGAAACCCCATCTCTACTAAAAATACAAAAATTAGCTGGACATGGTGGCAGGTGTCTGTAATCCCAGCTACTTGGGTGGTTGAGGCAAGAGAATCGCTTGACCCTGGGAGGTGGTGGTTGCAATGAGCCGAAATCACATCACTGCACTCCAGCCTGGGTGACAGAGCAGACTCTGTCTCAAAAAATGAAATAAACTCTCACAATCGCACCAACCTCTTCCCTGTGGGGACAGGGTGGAAGGAGGCCCACTTTTGTCCTGACAGAGGAGCCCCTGGGCTGGCCCAGAGGGTCAAAGCAGTGAGGGAGGTGGGAGGAGCGGCCGTACCTCCGTGGAGCTGACGAGGCTGCCATCGCTGTCGCCTCTGGGGCGGATGGCGTGCATCCGCACCAGCCGCTGCTTCTCCCGTGGACAGGGCTCCCTGGTCCTGGCTTCCTGCTTGAGCTGCCAAAGACAGGCCAAACAGGCTGGTTAATTCAGGAAAGGCTCCCGTTCGAGGCCCGGGGGGTTTCTACCAGGTCAGCACCACCCGTTCCACCCTCCCCAGCAGTTTCCTCTCGTCAGCTTCCAGAGAAAACAATCAAGTCCCTGTCCTCTGAGCCCGGGACCCCAGCGTCACAGGATCACAGGCGCTGCCAATCAACGAGACTGAAAGAAACCAGTTGGACACACAGCATTTCATTTCTTTTAGAATATGTGTGATTTACCAGTTCTACGAATGATATATAATACACACACACACACACACACACACACACACACACAGAGAGAGAGAGAGAGAGAGAGAGAGAGAAAATTGGAGGTAGGGAAGCAGAACCAGTTAGAGAAGAAAATAAAGTCCACCCGTCATCTCACACTCAGAATGAGCACAGCCTGCGCGCTGGCGCCTGCCCCAGGGTTTTTCTCTGCGTGCACACGTGTGTTTTCACCATCGATGTGGGACGCTGGCCGTGTAGGGGTGAGGCAGGAAGGGCCGGGTGGATTCTGCATGCGGAGGGAGGAGCTCCTGTGCCTCCCTGGGGGCTGGAGCTGGAGCTGCCTGCCAGCCCAGAGCGGAGGCTTTCTAAGAATCCCGGCTGTCTGGGAACATGCTCCCTCTGTTACATGCAGGTCTGTCTTTCCGCTCTCAGACGCTGGGCTTTTAAGCATTTCAGGAACACAGCATCTACACTGCGAATGGCTGCCTGTGGACAGCTTCCAACACCGCCTGCCACATCCATCACCACACTCGACAGGTTCCAGAACCTTCCACTAAGCTCCCCGTTCTATGATACAGAAGCACACTCTACTTGTCTACTGGGCACCTTCAAGGTTGCACAGCACCATTCACGCGTGGCAGCCGGTGTGTCGGTCAACACAGTGACACTGGGCCGTCTCTGCAGGTGCAGCGTGTGGCCCAGCCTGGGACCCTGCCTGTCCTCCCGGTGCCTCCCTGGGCCACCCTGGGGCCCAGCTCTGTCCCGCTGTCCCCGCAGCCCCTGCCTGGCCTCCAGCTCGGGTCAGCCGGGAGCACTCACCACACCCGGAGGCTCTGCCTGCAGCTGGCGGAGCTGTGTGCGCAGCCCACAGACCTGGTCCGTCAGCTCGAACACCTGCCTGCGGAGGGAGTCCTTCTCCACCAGGCTCTGCGAAATCTCTCTCTGAGCACTGTCCCTTGCGGAGTATGCCTGTGGGCCAAGACGGGAGTAAGGAGGCCAAGCCATCACCACGGGGGAGCCTCAGCTAGAGAAGGAGAGCCCTGTTTCTAGCCCGTGCTCATCTGACATCCACTAAATGGCCCACGCTGAGCTGTGCAAACTTAGGATTCATTTCAATTCATGTTCACGTGTGCAGTTTCAACAAAACCCAATATTTGGGGTGCACTTTCTCAGGGTCATGTGCCAAGAATAAAAGCAAGAAGGACGATAGAGACAGCGTATGGACAATAGGCATGGGAGAGTGAGGAAACGTCATGTGGACCAAGGAAAGAGACCCTGAAATCTGGGACCAGCTGCCATCGAGGACAGGGAGCTATGAGACGGTCCCCAGAACCAGCCCTCACCTGGGGAAGCAAGCACTGGGTGGCGGGGTGGGCCTGGCCTCTTAGGTACCTGGTCTCGCTCCTTCTGCAGCTCGCACACCTGGGCCTGCAGCGCGTTCACCTTCTCCCTGTAGAGCTGGCAGGCCATCTTACTCTTCTGGAACTGGAGCAGGGTCTGTTCCTTCTCTTCCCAGTACTGGACAGAGAGGGACACATGGCCTGTGGAGCTCAGCAGCTCTGAGGGTCGGGGCTGAGGAGGGGGTCGGGGGGCCCAGGGGTGGAGGGAGGGAGGTAGTTCTAGGGATGAAATAAGGTCAATTCTCACTCGTCTCTCTTTTTTTTCTTTTTTTTTTTTTGAGACGGAGACTTGCTGCAATGCCAAGGCTAGAGTGCAGCAGCACGATCTCAGCTCACTGCAACCTCTGCTTCCACGGTTCAAGCAATTCTCATACCTCTGCCTCCCTAGTAGCTGGGATTACAGGCACACACCACCAGGCCCTCTACTAAAAAAAATACAGCTAATTTTTGTATTTTTAGTAGAGACAGGGTTTCACTATATTGGCCAGGCTGGTCTCGAACCCCTGGCCTCAAGTGATCTGCCTGCCTCGGCCTCCCAAAGTGCTGATTATACGCATGGGCCACCGTGCCTGGCCTCACTCGCCTCTTAAGTGCTAGATTTCGAGGCACATCAAGACAGTTGCTTAGGCTGTTTATATCTGAATTAAAAAACAATGAGTGGATGTTACATGCATAGTTGTGTTTTGCTTTTTTAATGTCCCAAAAAAAATTCCCCCTCCCTGTCCTCTTCTCTTCCACCGTTTCCTTTCCTCCCAGTTCCCTCCTCACCTAAGTCCCTGGCTCTCCCTGGGGCCCCGGGCCCTGAAATCCCCTGCGTTTGAATCACGCATCTGCCTGACCATGGTCTTAGCTGTGGGGTGTGAGTCGGTGCTCAGGGTGGCGCTGACAAAGCAGGCCGACCGTTTCGTTCAGCAAAATTATGTGAGCTCGGTGTGGATGAGGGAATCTGGCTTCCCCACGGACCTGTCCGCGCCCCCGAGACCAGCCCCAGGAGGGTCACAGGAGAGGAAGGGGTCACACGGCACCTGCTCTCGCTGCCTCTCAGCGGCCACGGCCCGCTCCCGCAGTGAGTGGATGCGCTCCACCAGCTCCTGTCGGCTCCCTCGCGCCTCGTCCAGGCTCTGCTCCAGAATGTCCTTCTCCGCCTGGGGCAGAGAGAGGTCATTTTGGGGTGCTGGCTTCCCCAGAGGCCTGCCCTAGGCAAGCAGAATCCCAAGGAGACGGCGGCAACTTCACGGTCAGGTGTGTGGACGGACGCAGTCTCACTACTGTACACTGGGCGGGGAGAAGCCACGGAAGAGCCACCCACCACGCCTGGAAAACGTGCACATTCACGTCCAAGGAGAAAGGAACGCAGGAAGCTGGCGACCTCTCAGGACACCGATTCCTCCCTTTACCAGGTCAGCCTTCTCCTTCAGCAGATCTCCCGGCAGTT